GTTGTATCTCCCACACAGTTTGAGGGGGTGTAATAGCCTAATATTAAATTATTAATCCTTTGTATCTTTGGAAACTTTTATTAGTATAAATATATATCTGCCAGGTACCTTATTAGGTAACCTTTCCCATTATTTCACACGAATAATATCTCAATTGTGAAAGACTTATAATTATAGTAGAAGTATAAAAGTTGATCGGTTTTGAACTTGATTGCAACTTTAATTTACAAGAATTAGAAAGACCATGTCGTTGAACCATTTCTCGATTTGTGTGTGTCATCCTTGCGCAGGGGTCATGCTAATATTCTCTGTATCGTTCCAATTTTATCGGATGTCCCCGAAGGGACCGACCATGTCGTTGAATGTGGAACTACTAATACATTTTCCCGGCTGCCCGGCCGATACACGTGACTCAATCGGTAGATAAGAGGTGCCACAAGAGATAAGTATCGGATTCCAATCCTAACTATTATTGCAAATATCACTCGTTAAGTCTAATTTATATTATCTCGGCCAGTTGTCAAGCCGATACTAAAAGAGTTCAGAGATGCATACACATTTCTATTTTTAAATATTTGCTCCCTCATTTAAAGTTAGTGTCGTCATGGACTAGGTGCGTTATGCTACAAATTATAAATGTTGAACAAATTCATAATTTTTGCGACTGTGAACCTATCTACTTCTTCTTTTCTTCTTTTCAAATTCTAGCCAAGATTTATTTATGTACATTTCCATAAAATAAAATGGAATGACATTTTATCAATAACATGCCTCTCTTTCACCCACATTTTTTGAAAGCGTGTCAAACTCATACAAGAAATGTATTTAAGGACAATGGGAAATACATTAGTAATGGAAATCAAAAAAATTATAGGGAAAATTAATTTTTTGAAACGGAAAGTAAAAAAGATTGAAACAGATTTAAAAAAAAATTGCAAGATTAAAAACGATTTTTTCATTTTTTGCATACTCCGTACTACGTATTTAGGATGAGAGCATTAATGAAAAATCATTCATCAAACATGTATTCAAACGCATAAATTAGTATTTTACCTTGTTAATTAGCTAAGGTAAATTAAAAGAAAAGAGTTTCTAAAAAATAATATTAAAGTAAAACTTATTTATAGTAATATGGCTAAAAGTTATCATAGAATAGAGTCATACTAACCTAAATATAAAAATTGAATATCAGTTATTATGATTGAAGTTACAATTAAGTTTCTACACTTAAAATATCATATTTTTTTATAAACAACTTTTATTGTAGTTATAAATATATAATTATTCATTAAGAGAATAAAAAAGAATGATGAGGTGTTTGCCAAACACGCTATAAACTTTAAGAGAGTTTTCCTAAAATATTACTAATATAAAGTGATAGATAAATATATGACTTAATAACTTTTAGGGAATATAATTTTGTTCAAATTCAGTATCATATAATGATCTTGATATAAAGTTGAATACAATTATAATCGTTAAAAATTATCGTCACATTTTTGTTCACCATTATTGTAAGGTTAATATTTGTGGATTTTTTTTTTCAAATTTCAAAGCAAAAAATAGCAGATTAAACTATACTAGTATTAATTAAAATATTTCAAAATTCAAATTTTACATGCGCGTGACCAAGTCGGCAAGTCGCTGGAAATTTGGCCAATTTGAACCTCCAGGTCCGATACCGAAAGATTCCAGTTGGAAAGAAAGCGACATTATTCATATATTGTTGTTTTATACGGAGTATTTTGTAATATATGCTCTATTCTAATCAAATGTGAGTCTATGCTCGCAGCAAAAAAAGTGAGCCTACGCTTGATAATTTCATTACTATTACACGGAGTATATAACATAATCAATTGTTAATATACAATATATATATCATTATTTATTAGTATAAAATTAAATGCAACACATGCAAACTGAGAGGATATTAAATAAAAGTACTCCGTATGTTCTAGACATTGCATGTGTTGTTTCATCGATAAGGGATTTAATATTTTTAGCAAACTTATATATAACAAGATCTTTATAATTGAGTTTCATATGTTCTAAATGTCATTTCAGATAATCATATTGTTAATGAATATATATATATATATTGATTAGTTGAGATGTCAAAATCTGAAAATTGCCTCCTTAAGTACAAATACAAAAATTTCTTCTACCATGGTGGAGTATTTTAGAATCAACAATGTGAGGAATGCTCCTGTCCAGACGTCCGGACAGGAGCCGCCGTCCGGCCGGCGGCGTTTGGCCGCCTTCCCGGTGGAATTTTTTGATGAAATTTTTATGGCATGTTCTCCATCAAGTCTAGTTTATCCACAAAAAAATTCAGCCAAAAACTCAATCGGGAAGGTCGTCAAATGATTTTTGCAAGTTAACTGGTCCGGAAAATACATATTCCGGACCAGTTAACTTGCAAAAATCATTTGACGACCTTCCCGATTGAGTTTTTGGCTGAATTTTTTTGTGGATAAACTAGACTTGATGGAGAACATGCCATAAAAATTTCATCAAAAAATTCCACCGGGAAGGCGGCCAAACGCCGCCGGCCGGACGGCGGCTCCTGTCCGGACGTCTGGACAGGATCTTTTCTATCAACAATGTTACTTGTCCATTAGTTTGAACAATAATGATTACCTTTTACTTCCTCCGTTCTTTTTTAGAATCAACGGTCCACTTTTCACGTTTGCCAACACACAAGTTTGACCACTAATATATTTCATTCCTTATTAGTAAAAAAATTTAAAAAATTAGATTTCGAAAATTTGAAATGAGAAGAATTTAACAACATTTTCTTTAAATTTAATTTATAATACATTAATAAATAAAATAGAATCAAAGTAGAACATGTGAATAGTTAAAAAGTCCAAATTGATTTGCAAAGTCAACATCTTTTTATCAATTAATGTTAAAGTTAGATCTTTCTTATTAATAATTAATTCAATTGTAATAATTAAAATTTACAAATTCAGACACTACATTAAAATTTCCATAAAGTTGAAAAATCCAAGTAAAAGTATACTACTTAATTAATAGTGATATTTGAATTAAGTGAATAAAATAAAACCGTTTGACAAAGAAATGACTTTGCAAATCAATTTAGGACGGATAGAGTAAATTTTAATTCTTATACACTAAGCTAAAAAGTGTGTAAAGATGGTGTAAAAGATACACTTGTAGTTAGGGGTGCGTGGAAACAAGTCAGGCTAGGCCAGACTTTTGTCTAAACATGCCGAGCTTGTTTTAGAATATATATAGGCCTGAGCCTGGCCTGTTACCTATTAAAGAGCTATTTTTTCTGCCCAACCCTGACCTGTATAAAAGTCTGGCATGACCTGAAGCCTGTCTATTGAGCCTGTTAATAAAACATCAAAAGTTCAAAAAAGTTAAAAATAAAAAGTGACAAATGTTGTTAACCCCTTATAATCACTAAAAAGTCTAATAATACGTTAGTTTTGCTTTGGATGTATCATAATGTCAGTTATGTAGTTTATAAATTTTTATATACTTGAAATCTTGGAAAAAATTGAATTTCAATTACCATAAAAACTATTAACACACTCTATATATTTAAAATTGTATTCAATTCTAAATTATAATATACACTCCATAAAAATATTATTATGCCTAATTTGCTATAATTAAGTATACTAATATAAATATGAATGTAAATAGTACAAATAAATATAAATTTATATACAAACATATATATATATACACATATAAATAAGCGACATATTAAGCTAAAAAGTTTTAGAATTGGGTTAAGCATGACCTATTTAAATAAACGAGCTTTTTGAAAAACTTAAGTCTAATTTGATTATTACACAAGCCATATTTTAAACAAGCCAAGCCACATGCCTCTAATATGGCGTGTTGCCTATTCCAGCCCCTAATAGTAGTGTGTCCATTCAAGGTGAAGCACGTCCATGTGATAAACGATGATAATTCTCCAATTTCATAAGAAAGGGTAAAACTCAACATTCATTATAACAAGTAAGTTGGTGTGTTGAATTGGCGTACTCATTAAATTAATTACATTAAGTGTAAAGAATCTTTGTTTGTTTCACAAAGTTTGTGTAAAGAATCTTTAATTATATTCCATTGGAGAGTGTTAAAATTGATTTTAAATCAGTTTTCTAGAAGTTATTAATCTCCCACTATTTCTCAAAAATTATGTTTAGAAGTAATTTAAAACACGAATAGGTATTTCCACTTTTCTATCTAAACACAACAAATGTGTTTCTCCTCTTTAACAAGCAAAAATAATTTAAGAAACAAATCTAAACACCTAACAGTTTCCAGCTAACTAGTCTGTTTCAACAATAACTTTAATGATTGAGCATATTCAATAAATGGAGCCAATTTTAACTTATTGCAAATACATATACGGAGTACTTTAAATACATTGACTCTATATAGTGGCCGATGTTATAAGACATTATTTGTGCATACGGTTGGCTGAAGAGGCAAGTTCCATCACTGAACAAGTGTTGAGCACCAGCACCGAATGAAATCCTGCAGGAAAAAACACTGCAAATATATATGAAATCAATGCACGTATCCACAGTACTGATGAGTACTGAAATAATGTGTTTTGACATCTAGCCATCTAGGGTATTTTCGCTCTAGTTTTCATTTCCCTTCTTTTTCGTGTTATTTTTCGTTTTATTCCAAATTTCCCACCACTCAACTAACTGATTATCCGTGCGGATTAATGTTATGTTTCTATAATTCTATCTAGTGTTTATCTCCTCAAAATCCTACTCCAATACGTATATAATTATATAAAGATTTATTGCCTCTCCACATTCATTTCACCATTTTAATTTCATCTTTTCATTTGTGCAAAATAGTTTATCACTTTTTTTAAAAGTAATAATTTTATTATGATATTTATATATTTCTCACTCATATGACACAGGGTTTTTAAGTGCTTGGGCCTGTCAACTGAAGGCTGGTGCTTGGCCGCCTTTTCCCACGCCTAATAGGTGTGCGGGGCAGCCGCCTCTAGGCTTTATTTTCCGAATTCGATCATATTGATCGAAGTTCGGCTGTTCTTGTTCGCATATCTGGCCGCGGAGCAGTGGTCTGCTTTTGGCTAAGGTAGAGCGATCACGAGTTTTTCTCTCTAGGGCTTTGACTATGTCGGCCACTGGAGCCTTTTTCCGATTTCGACTTTATCGAAGATCGGCTTTGTTATCCCTTGGTCGCTGGTGCTCGACTGGAGTCCAGGTCAGACGCGGAGGGCGGAGATCGGTGGAGGAGGGCAGATTTGTTGTCATGACTCGAGGAGATCGGCGGTGTGGTCAAGGTTCGAGGATGCGGCGTTGCTGTCGTCGTTGGAGAAGATCGGCGCCGCTTGTCCGCTTACTCTGGTCGCACGGAGCAGGGATGAGTTTGGTTATGCAGGGACGGAGGATTGATGCATGGTCTTCGGCAGCCAAAGGTCATGGAGGATCAATTAGCATGGTACCAGTGGTACGACCTCCTCCTGAACCACCACCATGGGATGCACGAAGTGCTAGAGTTCGTGAACGTTTTTCTTGTAGTTTTTATCTGTTTGTTATTTATTTTCTTGCGTCCATTTTTGTTGTTGGGTTTGACAGTTTGTTTGAGTTTTTTGCCTCTCTTTATGTCATTGGGTATGGTTGGATCTATGGGAATAGTTTTGGCTGTGTCAAGCCCACCACATGGTTAGCGATTCGTGTTGCTCTCTCAGGGGTGACCGTCTCAAAGTCTCACATTCTGCGCACATATAACGTGCAGTATGTTTCAAGAATTTATTTGAATGCCTTCCCGGTCGAATTTTGAGCTGAAATTTGGTATGGACAAACTAGACTTGATGAGGAACATGCTCAAAAAATTTCATCTAAAAATTCCACCGGGAACCCCCCGAAACAGTGAAGTTCGGACGGCTGCTCTCATCCCTCCGACTGGACCTGAGCAGTCCTCTCTCTATAGATATATATATATATTCTTTTCTCCGGTCCATCCCTTACGTCACCCTTTCATTCCTAGATTTTGGCGGATTAGAGAACATCACTATAGATCATGCCTGTCATTTGATTATAAAAGTTCCTGATATTTTTCAAGTTTGAAATTTACTCCTTCCATATCATATCATATCATTTACTCCGTATTAAGAGAGTTTCTTGTTCCTTTTTGAGATTGTAAAAATTTAATTGTAACCTTTTCATTTTTAAAAAGAGATTTACTCAAAGTATTTAGAGTATACTTTAATAGAATGATCCGCATATAGTACTGTTAGTCCAAGAATTCATTTTTTATAAATTTTACAGTAAATTTTTAACATTGTCTTAAACTAAGTGAAAAACTTTATTTTGATAACTAAAATGATATAAATGGAATATATTCACTTACAAGTTACAAACATTATTTTCAATAAAATAAAATAAAATAGTGTTATAGACATATGGTGTTGAATTACAAAACACAATCATTGTCAGGGTGATTCCTATGTTTTATGTCAATTTGTCAACATAGGCATCTCCATTTAGCTAGGATTTTTCTAACCATTCATTAATTTACTTGGCCCCCTATGGCCCTATAGTAATTTAATTACTGAACCCATTGTCGATAATGAGTTCATGTTTTGACATCCTCAAATTACATGCATACATAAAAATAGTGAGCTGTGTGTATTGTATAATTGCAAGCGGTAAAGATATATGGAGTATATATATAAATGCCATTTCATAGGAATTGATGTTACTCAGTTTAATTTCTCTAATCAGAAGACATTATATATTTATCTTTTCTATTTTTTGTTTTTTCTGCCTCATATATGTACGTACTACGTTATAGGGATTTCCCGAATATGATTATAATACGCTTAGTTGTGTTTCACAAATTTCTTTAGTGTGATTAGTTTAGGGAAGATTTCCCTAAATAGAACTTATAGCTTCTGGGTAAACTATTAGTGATATAGTTAGCTAGAGAGAAGAGAAAGCTAAAATTTAGAGAGAGAAAGAGCTTGTATTAAATAGGAGTTTACAATTTCCCCCAAGGAGGTATTTATAGTAGTAATAAATGAGGCGGTGCATTAAATACATCACATGTATCGACTAATCTATGAGCGAGAGCCCTGTGGCGCAACAGATCTTGATCGACGTGTGTCACTCTCTAAGCGACCTTTGCCCAAGTGTTCTCTTTGTGCAGAGGTGATGATGGCCAAGGTGCAGGGGTGCACCCCAGGTCTCGTGATATCCTTGTTTCTAGATGGTCTCCTGAAGTTTGTGACTGAGGTATCACCTACAGGGTGATGACCTCCAAGGTGACTGTACGGACAGAGCCGTTTTCTTCATTCTGGATCGACATTGTTTGGGAGATCATTCTAGATCGACATTGTTTGGGAAGTCTTTAGTGGTGTGATGGGCTTGGGCCCTTGTGTATCTAGAGTGTGTGGGTCGTGGATCCGAGCTTAAAGTTTAAATTTTCAAAATAGTATTAATTACTCTTCCTATTCAACTCTTTCCCTTGTCATTATTAATAGAAATACTACCTCCGTCCGGCTTAAAGGTTTCCATTGTAAAATGACACAGCTATTTAGACAATAATTAAATAAAGTTATTCTAGTATATTTTGAGAAATAGTTTTGATAGATATATACTATGATGGGGTCATTGATGGTAATTAACTGTAATGTTATAGATGTATTATTTTTAATATTGGATGATTAAAGTTTCATTTAAGAGTATTAATTGTTTCATAAAATAGAAATTGGAACGTTTATATGTGACATCCAAGAAAAGAAATTGAGAACCTTTGAATGGCCGGGACAGAGGGAGAAATATTAAAACATAAAAAAGTTAAAGTAAAATACAAACATAAAAAATAAATAAAAAATATACAGGCCTCAACCACCACCTGAGCCACCTTCCAGCACCGCCACCTCCAGTCACCGGAAAAGAATGCCAAGATGAAAAAACAAATACGTCATCGTGATAGCAATTTTGAAAAAAAGTTGGATTTTTGCAATGACTAAAAATGTCATCTTCATTACATTTTTAGATGAATATAATATTTTTTACAATGATCGGAGCTGGTGGTACTAAGGGGTAGTGGATGTGGTGGCAGTGGCCTACATATTTTTTTTAATATTTTTAAGGTTTTTTTAGAGTTTAAGTTTTTTAAATATTTTTATTTTATTTTGTTTTATTTATTTTATTTTATTTTATTTTATTTTATTTTATTTTACTTATTTCCATTTTCATTATTAGTATATAAATATTTTTATTGGTTTTGTATATTTTATTATAAATAAAATTATGGTTTTCTTATTTATAAAATAGGAAAAACTTCAACTAATATTATTCTTTAATATGTGGTGCACAAAAATATTGTTTATTTAGTAACTATTAGTGATTATAATTGTGTTCAAATTTCTTGTCTTAGTAATTACATTTAAGTTATCACGATGTAAACTTTGAACACAATTATAGTCACTAATAAAGTTATTACGTAATATGTTTTGTCATGACTTTTTTATCCGTACTCCCTCCGTCCCATTGAATTCTTCCAACTTTCCTTTTTGGGACGTCCCAAAAAATTCTTCCAACTTCCACTTTTGGAAAAAAATATTTATTTGGTTCACATTCATTCACCTTTTTCATACACAACTACAACCATACATTTCCAATTTATTCCCACTTTCTAAATTTGCGAGTCAAGTTTGACTTGGAAGAATTTATTGGGACGGAGAATAATATTTAAGGAAAAACCCCATAAAATAAATCTATTAGAAATGATAAGAAAGCGTCACAAAATTTTAATTGTTAGATATTTAGATTATTAGTTACACATTTTAATTAACATGTGAAATTAGAATTTGGAAAATGCAAAAGTAAGTATATCTAATTAGGGTATTCAATAATGACACTTTTTTATTATAAAAGTAAGTACATTCTAATGACACTTATTTATAAAATACTCCGTAGTGTTATTGAATTGTCTTCTTCTCGAAGTAGTTTTTTTTAATAATCTCGAAGTAGTATTTATGCACTCATATTTATAGTGTTTATTGTTCCATTTGGATAAATAAATTTTATTTTGGAAATAAAATATGTACAGACCCATTTTTTTTCTTTATATACGAGTACATTTAAATTTGGAAAAAGGGTCATATAAACCCATCTACTATTTCAAAAACATCATATAAGCCCATATACTTAAAAAACAATCACACATATACATCTACTATTGAAAAACAATCAAGGAGGTCCAATGACTTGTTAGCAACCTGTGATAGCAGGTCACCATCATTATTTTAGCTTTTTCCTTTTAATCTTTCCATTTCTTTTGTCTTACGAGTTACGGTTGCAACATTCTTCGTTGCTTGTTTCATTTTGATTTTTTCCATTTTCCTTTATTTTTTAATTTTCTTCTTAGTCATCCTTCCTAGACTCCCAGAGTCCCAGTCATCCTCTACACCCATCTCCTATGAATCATTTCCTTCGAATCATCTAAATCATACGGAGAATAAATCTAATGTTTTTTTCCTTTTATTTCATTATATCTAACATTTTCAATTCTTCCACAATATTTCAATAATACGGAAATTACACTTTTAATTCATTATTTATTATTCATATTGAGATGTAGGGCCCGTTTGAGGGGAAATATTTAAAATATATTTTATTAATAAAATAAAGAAAACATTATATGAAAAATAGTTAAAATGATTCTCTACAATAACTTCAGTCAATACATCCAGAAAAGTAATTTCAATTTTACTTTTTCTTATTGTTACACAATTTAGCGCATGAAATCAAACGTTATGTGTTCGGTAAAAAAATTTGTTGATACATCTGATAAGCCGAAAAGCAGGGTTACCAAACCGGACTCGTTCACCGTCTATTCAGTATTATACTACATCCATCCCATAAAACTTGGTCAACTTTTCCTTTTTGGTCGTCCAAAAAAACTTTGATATTTCCCTTTAAAGTAATAAATAGGTGTCTATAGTTATTTCTTTGTCCTTTGTACAAATATCAATCACACAGTTTTTACTTTATTAATCTACGTGCAAATCATCATTGGCCAAGTTTAATGGGACGAGGGAGTAAATGTTACTCCCTGTTACTGTCTAATTTAAAGGAAATATGGTTTTCACCGTTAAAATCAGATTAAGAGCCTGTTTGGTAACACGAAAATCGACTGATTCTGCTATAATTTATGAAGTTATGGCTGATGTAGCTGCATTGGCTTATTCTGCCGATTTAAGGGGAAAAAATTTAAAATATATTTTATTATTAAAATAATGAAAAAATTATATGTAAAATAGTTAAAATAGTCGTCTACTGTAACCTCAACCAATATAGCCAGAAAAGTAACTCCAACCTTATTTTTTCTTATTATTACACAATTCAGCGCGTGAAAACAAAAATCAGGTGTTTGGTGAAAAAGTTGGCTGATAAGCTAGATAAGCCAAAAAACAGCGTTACCAAACGGCATCTAATAACGTTTATTTCTTTTGCTTTTAAAACGATTAACATTGTAGTTTCTTAATTACAGTGTCAAAAAGTTATACGTAGTACAATGTTTGGGTAATTTTTAAATTCCTTTACATTGGCATCTTTTGTCTCTAAATATAGTTGATAGAAAAACAATATTGGTCTAAAAAATGCAATTTTATAATTTATATTGACTGATGGCCATGTTTGA